TTCCTGTCTGATTCTCTGCTGACCCTGCTCTGATCCCTGGCTTGTCTGACCATTCTCCTGCTCCTGATCCCTGGCTTGTCTGACCATTCTCCTCTGCCTGACCCTCTGTACCACGCTGCCCGCTACCTGCTGAACCTGCTTGTGACCCCGACCATTCTTCGCTTGCTCCCCTTGTACCTACCTGCCCGATTGATATTGACCCGACCTGCCTGACGACGCTTGCATTGTATGTACTGTTATCTGTGGGTGGTTTGGTTTGGTTCGTTTGCACTGTGTTATGTTTTAGTATTGCACTGCGTTTATGTTTGTATTGTTCGTGTTAATAAATTACATTGTTTATAACATATCTGAAGTCTGCGTTTCCCTGCGTCAGTCACACACCTCTGGTCACACCCGGGAGCCCTGACAATAACTCACTGAAATCTGTCCGAATAAGAGTCTAGTAAACATCCCGTGTAAGATAAAACGTAAAACGCAAAATCATAAATTATAATATAATAAATAGTCATAAAAAAATAATAATATATTTAATTCAATAATATAATCAAGCCAAAAACACTGAAATTTGAAATCTAGCAAAAAGTTCGTACATCGCTGAGCTCAGTCGCAGAATCGTTTTCTGATGACGAATTTCCCCACGAATCATCACTCAATTCTGCAAGTGGTTCTGATTTACTATCGCTGTCTTCTAGCTGGTCTAAAACTGCTTTTGACCTAAAGGGGCGCTTTTTGGACGCCATGGACTTTTCTAAGTTTCCAGGCAGAAAGAACAGTACAAATGCAGACAGGGCACAGGACAAAGCACTAGGGACAAAATGTATGTGAAATGGTTTGAAACAGTAATGTTTTACTATGTGATTTTAGTATATTCATAAATGTCAGTTTTTAAAATTTTAAAATTTTCCCGCCGGTTCCGGCCCCCGTACGTCCCGACGCTAGCAGGGACCTGGAACATGGAAGACGGATGCCGGCATCAGCTGGAGGAGATGGCCAGGGACGCTGAAGGGGACACATCGTGGGAGCGCTGGACAAGGTAAGTGAAGAAGAGATCCTGGAGCAACGCTGCATGGTTTTTCTGAGTGTAGCTCGGGGTTACCGCTTCTGGTACTGAAACGTTACCCCGAGCTACACTCGGGAATACCGCCAGGGAGGTTAATGTACCCCTGCGAGATTTTCTACTCATGTTGTGCCATATTCTCCACCACCTAGATCCCTTCTACACTTAGTTTATGACCCACTGCATGACATCAATTCTTCCACCTTTCTTCCTTGTTGCTCCCTCCCAAGGGGACTTTAGTATTATTTAGATGGTTATTGACCAGAACCTCGTCTACACTATTCTGTACATACTGTATTATTTCCTTCCTAAACTATATCTGTTTTGGAGTGGCTGTACTGTTCATCTCTTTTGGAAGTAATTTCTTTTTTTTGCCAGTGTACAGTGTATGTTTCATGATTGTATACAATGTTTAGGCCCTTGGGACCGTTTTATTTCTTTGCATCCATTGTACTAATTCATTGTACTTGTTCTTTCTCTTCAATAAAAATTCTACGTTTATGAAATATATTTATTTATTTATTTATTTTTTTTTTGATAGATGTCATTTCTCAATACTCCCTGTGGGGAGAGTAGCATCTGCAAATGGGGCTTATTTAGTCCAACTGTCCGGTTTCTAGATCCATTAATTTATGGGATCATCAGTCAGGCTTATAATTAAGTTCATGAACAGCAGTCAAGAGAAACTGTAATCACCCTGTATGCATTCTCTAAGAAACTGATAGTTTTTTCAGAACCGTATAAAGTCAATCATACCAAGATAGAATAGCAGATAAAGATTCTAGTGAAAAAAATAAATAATAGTGACCTGCTCAAAGGTGCATTATGGCAACTTAGCACCTGCAACAAAGTTACCTAACATCCCCTTGCAACAGGCATAAAACTGCCTTAAACAGTTAAAAAAAATCTATTACAAACTGCATATCCAACACTTATATCATTAATGTGAGAGATGTAGTTTGTACTTTTTTCAATGCATTGCTTTGCTGAATTATTATAAAACAGCAAACCATTCTTGTTTAAAATGTGCAGTATATAGATTATGGCAACACTTCAATGGTCATCAACTGTAAAACCTAGATGTGTTGCATTCCTACAATCGATATTCAGTACTCCTTCAAGCAAGTCTAGTAATACAGCCTCTACCTTGAAAATCAGTAAATTTTGCATTTTTTCTGAACACAAAAGTGGTGACTAACAAACAAAACTTGACTCCAGCTAACACTTTGTAAACAATTATAGAAACTTTTTTTTTTCAGGATAAATGTTTTAACTAAACAAATACAAACTGATCATTGTCAGGCTTACTCTCAGCTTAAATGGTTTGTCTCAACCCTCTAACTGCCATGTTTGCTGCACAGCTTGGTCTGTTTAAAGAAAGCTGAAAAATAACTGACCTACTGGCAAGATTAACAGGTAATATAACTACTCTGTTAATACTAGTGACAGTGACATATGGACATATTATTTTATGCAGTGAGACAGACTGCATCATATGGACATCATATTATTTTATCCATAGTTCCATTTTAAGAGCCAATACAGGGTTAATGAAAAGGGGGGGGAGGTGAAAAGGAGATATGAAGAGAGAGAAAGATTGAATCAAGTGTATGTAGGCTGCTTTGAGTTTAGTGTGGACAGGAGGAGATCCATATTCCCTTGGTATCCCTACCTTTCAACAATTAGAAATGGATTTAGAAGGTCCCCTGGAAAAGTTTGCTCGAAAGCACAGACATATTTTGCTCATCCTCAACTATGTCACTTTGAGGAAGACCTCGTGAAAAGCCATAGCCAGTGACCAGGCACTCTGTTTATGTGAAGGGTCATGGCAGATATATGCAAGCTGCTTCATAGCATAGTCGAATGATTAACCTTGAAATCCATATTGAGACTGATGGTCCAAGGAGACAAAGAAAGAGTAGGACTGCCTTTTACCATTTTTTTTTGCTATGCAGGCGATTTCTCAAGCAATGACAGAGTTTACCCTTTTGAATATGGGTGGAGATCACGGACAAAAACCTGGTAAAAGAGATCTGGGAGGATAAGTATACCCCACAAAAGTGTTTTGAAATATGTGTCTCAGATGCAAGAAAGGATTGGAAACATGATACCATTGGTTAAAGGACATCTTGCACAATGGGCTTGAGTAGCAGTACTAATCGCCACTGGAGAGAATTATTTCCTGGATCAATGGCAAGGTTTTATAGAGGTCATAGAAAAAGTAGGAGAGGTGAACTAAAAAAAGTATTGAACCAGGTAAAAGAAAACCTTAGCAGCAATTTTTTCAGGGCTTAGCTGGTCTCACTGATGCCATAGAGCATAATATTATCGGGGTGGCAGGATTTGTGTTAGGTCTTATAGCATCCCTGAAACCTGAAGGAATGTGGTCTCAGATGCAGTTAAAAAAAAAATGTTATGTAAATATATGTGCTGCACTAAAAAATAAATTAACTAATAAAGGTGTCAGATTTCAAGTTTAAACTGGCCAAAAATGTAGACAATGTGTAAAAATTGCAGTCAATGCAAATGCAAAGTACAGCTGAAAAAATAAATTGACGTAAATCAGTCCAATTAATATGTACAACCAATCTATAAAAAGGCAATAAACATTAATATATGAAGAACATATAAATTCATATTCACTCATGATTCATGTACACTTATCTGTGAATGATCAAAAAAAAAACTGTGATCATGTACACAATCAATCACTAAAAAAGATAAACATCAGTGAATAAAAAAGTTCATATACGTTTGTCTTCCATCGTGTTCCATGAAAACTTGTCCATGACCAGTGCTAAATTTAAAATTTAAGAGAAATATTAATACAGAAAAGCACACAGGACCACCACCAGGAATCCCCCCATAGGTGTATGCTCACCTCAAAACTAGGCCCTTATTACGAGGACCAATAAAGCCTCAAAACAATCTGGGATCTGAGATGGCTGCTACAGGTGTGCATCCAATGGATATGCAGGTATTCACAGCATGTGACAGAACGTTCCACTTCTCAATTCAAAAAAGAAGAAAGTCTCATAATTTAACTCATATAACAAATATTATTACTGAAAGCATAAATTGCACTTTTATCAAGTAGCCATAGTAACTGCACAAAGTACCAAACTGCCACCTCCACTCACATTTCAAATCAGAGTAGACAGTCATACTGTGGGGAAAGACAGCAGAAGCTGACAGCTCACTTGTGGACACTCTATCTCTCCTAGATCAGTGAAGCTTAATCCTACATGGTTCATCATCGTGACATCATTTGACAGTTAAATCACAGCCTTACAGTTTAAAGAATGTTGCTGTATATGTCTGCATTTTTTCAGAAAGGAAGTTGAGTTAAATCCTCCCAATAGGTGACAATGTGAGAAATAAATCTGATAGAGATCCTAAATGTAACCAACTTTATCCAAAAACACAATCGCCAAGAACTGTTGAGCATGGGCTGGTAGATATATCCTTTATGGATGCATCACTAGCCTGTATTTTAAATTTCCATTGACCCACCATGGCAGTGCTCAGCTACTCATGTCCTTAAAAAAAAAGGAAAGAAAAGCTTTAAATTATTCCTGAAAAAGTCCAGAATAAAATACAAGATTTGGCTACCTTATACTTCTATAGGGTTCAGCACTATGTTCAGGGTTTGCAAACTTCCTCCAATTTGGATGTACATACCCTCAAATTAAACCTGAGAGTGTGCGCTTTTAGCCCATATTCATTATATAACTATAGCTTGAATATGTTTTGGTAAATACCTAGTGATGTGATAATTTCTTTGCCCATTTTCCAGTGTATACGTCTATTATGCAGTGTTTGTTTTGCCCTTTTCCAATATGGCTGCTATGCTCTCTGGGCACTGAGGATGAGGTCATCAGGGAGAGACTTGTGGAAAAGAGGGAAGTGTGTTTGTTTCCTGCAGAGAGAGAGCTCAGACTCAGGGGCGGACTGACCATTTGGAAACTCGGGCACTGCCTGAGTGTCACGATATAAGGTCAGGTTCAGAGACCAGTTGCTACAACAGTTGCAAGGCTTACCTGAAACCAGCAGGATTGGTACACTAGCGGCCCACCCTGGGAATGACGCAGGCTCACCTGAGGTGCGGGGTCTAAGCATCCACCGGTCTTCCCCAGAGCTCCTAATTGTGGAGATGGATTTGGCTGCATGTGAATGCCAGGTCGCAGATCTCAGGATCACCCCACCAGGGAATGAGTAGGCTGGAAACCAAAAGTGGATCAAACAGTTCAGGGATCAAACAGAAGCGGAGTCAGTCACAAGCCAAGGATCGGTCACCAATGGTAGTAGTTAGGATGAGGCAGAATCGTAGTCAGTAGCAAGCCAAAGGTCGGTAACGTAGATGAAGACAGCAGCAGGAACAGTAAGCGGGGATATTGGCTGGTAAGGCACAATAATCTGGCAAGGAGGAAGTGCATGGACATGGCTTTTATAAGGACGTTCATGGGAGGAGCAAGGAGCTCAAGGTTCAAGAGAAATCAAGGCACAAGGCAGGATTATCCAAGAATTGTCAAGGGAGCTGTCCAACATTCCAGATAGCTCAGTGAGAAGAGACATTGCCTCCCACTGCAGAAGGACCAGGTTTGATCCCAGGCTCTGACACTGAGGGCCCGGGGTCAGTAGGGGGCCCCATGAGATGCCCCTGGTACCTTTTTCATAGGCTTTTTTGAGTTTGGGCAAGGACACAGGGGCCCCATGATCCCCTATTGCCCGGGGGCCCCATGAGTTATCAGTCCGCCCCTGCTCAGACTGTAAGTGTTGCATGTCTCCCCTCACTGAGACATGCAAAAAAAAGACTGTTAATGCTTTAATGTTCCTGTTTGGAAGATACTTTATGTTGGATGGTTCACTGAATGTGATTTCTTCAATTCATGGACTTTCATATATAATGCTGTGTGGATTACTGTCTATGTGGACGATACATTTCTCAGTTGGGATTTCACTTGTTATCAACAAGCCCCAATTGAGTGGAGGCACTAGCGCTTGTTAGAGATCTTGCCCTGATCACACTAATTATAAGGACTCTGCTCCTAATTACTATACAGGTGAAGCTATCATACCCCAGTAGCCGCAAAGAGTGTACAAATAGCGCTACACCTGAAAGAAAACTAAAATTGTGTCCAAATATATATGGGCCTAACTGTGTATGTGTGTGTATATACACTGTTGCAAGAAAAATTATGTGAACCCCTTGGGATTACGTGGAGTTTTGCATGAATTGGGCATAAAATGTGCTCTGAACGTCATCTAAGTCACAACAATAGAAGAACACAGTCTGCTGAACATAATACTACACAAACATTAGATGTTGCCATGGTTTAATTGCACATAACATGTAAACATTCACAGTGCAGGGAGGAAAAAGTATGTGAACCTTTGGACTTAATAACTGGTTGACCCTCCTTTGGCAGCAATAACCTCAACCAAACGTTTCCTGTAGTTGCAGATCAGACCTGCACAATGATCCGGAGTAATTTTGGACCACTCCTCTTCACAAAACTGTTTCAGTGTAGCAATATTCTTGGGATGTCTGGTGTGAATCGCTCTCTCTTAAGGTTATGCCACAGAATTTCAATCGGGTTGAGGTCAGGACTCTGACTGGGCCACTCTAGAAGGCGTATTCTGTGCTGTTGCAGCCATTGTTTTGTTGAATTACTTGTATGCTTTGGGTCATTGTCCTGTTGCATCACCCATCCTCTGCGGAGCTTCAGTTGGCAGACAGATGGTCGTACGTTTTCCTGCAAAATGTCTTGATAAACTCTGGAATTCATTTTCCCATCAATGACAACAATCCATCCAGGCCCTGAGGCAGCAAAGCAGCCCCAAACCATGATGCTCCCTACGCCATGTTTTACAGTGGGGATGAGGTTTTGATGTTGGTGCTGTGCCTTTTTTTCTCCACACATAGTATTGTGTGTTCTTCCCAAACAACTCAATCTTGGTTTCATCTGTCCACAGTATATTTTGCTAGTAGTGCTGTGGAACATCCAGGTGCTCTTTTGTAAACTTCAAACGTGCTGCAATATTCTTTTTGGACAGCAATGGCTTCCTCCGTGGTGTCCTCCCATGTACTCCATTCTTGTTTAATGTTTTCCTATTGTAGATGTGTCAACAAAAATGTTAGCATGTGCCAGAGATTTCTGTAGGTCTTTAGCTGACACTCTGGGATTCTTCTTTACCTCATGCAGCATTCTGCGCTGTGCTCTTGCAGTCATTTTTACAGGACGACCACGCCTAGGGAGAGTAGGAACAGTGCTAAACTTTCTCCATTTGTAGACAGTCTCTCTTACTGTGGACACATGAACATCAAGGCTTTTGGAGATACTTTTATAACCCTTTCCAGCTTCATGCAAGTCAACAATTCTTGATGGTAGGTCTTCTGAGAGCTCTTTTCTGCGAAGCATGGTTCACATCAGACAGTGCTTCTTGAAACCAGTAAACCCAAAACAGGTGTGTGTTTTTTAAGGGCAGGACAGCTGTCAGCAACACATCCAATATCATCACACTGATTGGAGTCAAGGTTGGCTCACTCCTGGCTCCAATTAGCTCTGGGAGAAGTCATTAAGCTAGGGCCTCACATACTTTTTCCTCCCTGCACTGTGAATGTTTACATGTTATGTGCAATCAAACCATGGCAACATCTAATGTTTGTGTAGTATTATGTTCAACAGACTGTGTTCTTCTATTGTTGTGACTTAGATGACGTTCAGAGCACATTTTATGCCCAATTCATGCAAAAATCCACGTAATGCCAAGGGGTTCACATACTTTTTCTTGCAACTGTATATTGCATACATCAGGAACAAGTTACCTTATTAAACTAAATTGAACATACATAATTACCACAAGTTTCTTCCATCAAACATCTCAGAAAAATTAGCATTGCTCCTTGCCCACCATCAAACTAAGGGGGCATCCTGTTGATAACCTTTTATAAAATACATCAAACCATTAGAACATTTTAGAAATTGAGCAGAATAAAAATTCTACTCCTATATTCCATTATTCATCCACATTCTGAAGATAATGAAAAACATATGAGCCCTAAGAAAAACACAAAAAAAAAAGATAATAAGGAAAGCGTTAAAACAATGAAAAGAAATGAAAAAAAAAATAAGAGTAAAGAAAAGAGCAAATAAACAAAATTCCTTTATAAGAAAAGATGTAGCTCTTAATCAGAGTTTAATCCCCTAAAGTGCAATGGGGATGATTTACTAAAACTGTTTCTCTCAGAATCTGGTGCTGCTGTGGATGGTAGCGAATTAGCTTCTAGCCTCACCTTGTTCAGTAAAGCTTTGGCAATCAAACCTGGGAAACTGATTGATTTCTATGTAGTAATGCACCTGATTTTGCACTCTCCTGCTTTAGTAAATAAATCCCAGTGTGCCCAATCGATGGATCCACTGTACATCTAATCTCTATCTTTAACTCATGATCACCACCCCACCTATTCTGCTCAACTCCATCTGTAATGATGAATTTCAATTGTGAGACCATGTGTCCTTTTTCTATAACATGACTTGCAAGTGGTACCAGCACCAATTTATCCCTAATTGAGAATTTATACCAGGCTTTGTGATCCTTAGTCTTTTTTTGGTCTCACCCGCATAGAGGTAACCACAGGGACATTTAATAATACTGTATATACTGCAAATGATGTACATGTGTAATGTCCTGGAATTTTAATGTTGGTACATCTATGTGGGTGAGAGAAACTCTGTCCTTTTATTATGCAGCTACACTGAAAACAATTTAAGCAAGGATAAGAACCAGTGCTTCCTGGCCTCAAAAATATAGTGATTTGTTTTGGAGGATGATATTGGTCAGATCTGATCAATTTGTCTCACAAAGTCTTACCCTGTAGATAAGGTGGTAAAGGAGAGGCACAAAATTCAAGAATGGATGTGTAGTTGTTCCATATGATAGACCAATGTTTTTTATAATGCTATAAAAACCCATGAGAAAAAGGATGATATTAAGAAACAAAAGGCAACCCCCTATTATTAACCCTATACCAGGACGGGATAAATTAACTTTTTCTTTTTTAATCTGTTGCACAGGATAACCTCTTTGGACTAATTTTAGTCCCCATTTCATCTAACCTTGTCTCACAATCCTCCAGGTTCCTAACAATGCTCACAGTACAGGATATCTGACTTTATTATCTAGATTGGAATATGTAGGGATCTTGTACCAATTTCAGATTGTGTGCTCTATATCAGGGGCAGTTTAACTATTTAATGTCAAGAATGATATTTGCACATTCTAGTGTTTTTTTCTTTTGACTGATCAACATGGTCATTAGAGAAAACATTTATTTATAAGTCCAGACAGAATGAGACATTTGCTTATGAGGCACTTGTTAGGACAGATAGTTTAGTTTGATTAGAATGATCTGAAATCATTTATGGCTGTTGAGCTTGGCACTCCAACACCCTTCATACTACTAATGTGCTGGCCCTCCATTAGTAATAGGCAAGATCTATGGAGCGAAACATGTCTAGTTTAGTCCTTACCTATATTTTTTTCCAAAATAAGCAATACCTACTGTTACAAAATAAGCAAAGTATCTACCTCCCCTTCTTGCGTTCTTCTTAGCATTTAGCTGAATATTGAATTTAGTGCTTTTGAACAGATTGTGACATATGTCATTGATGGCCATGTTAATAGCATAATAATAAATACCCATGGGTCTGCTCCTCCCCCCATTATTTTAGCTGCTGTTCCATACTCAAGCCTCTGTGTTTCGGCTTGAGCCAAAAGTGCTGTAATCACCTTTAATAGCACAAAATACATTTCCTTCTTTTAGTTTTTCATACAATGCTCACTATTTTCATGGTTTGAATTAAATAAAAGGTACCTCATGTATTTCTGTCATAAAAATACAATAATAAATGGGGTGCCAGCAGCATAATCAATTTCAGAAGGTACTGGAAATTATTTTAATAAAGCATTTTCTCACAAATATGCACAGAAGAATCATATGAAATGTGAAATGAAATCTTATTTGAATAAGGAGAAGAAACAATCATTGGGAGCAATCATGCAGAACATGCAAGACTGTTTCCAAATTATTATGCCATTCTAAATATATACTTTTGAACCCAGCTGTCTGTGGACTTTTTTTATTCTTCTCAACTCTTGATAGAACTGTTCAATTTCTATTGATTCATTTTTTGCAATCAAAGATGGGCAGTTTAGTGAGTTAGCTGAATATTAAAATTGTGTGCTTTTCAAAATGTAGATTAGATATGAACAAAGTTGCGTATATGTAACCGATTAAGTATTGTGCACTTCAGAGTTCCATTAAAGTAATACATGATGATCCTTCCATGAAGGTCCTTGTTCATGCACTTCCTCTGACTGGGTGACATGCTCTGTCTCTGTGGGGTTTATTTACTAAAGCTGGTTCACTCAGAATCTCGTGCCTTCTGCATTGAAGCCAATCTTCTTACATGTTTTTTTTTGCTAAAGCTAAATTGAACAAGCTGAGGTTAGAAGCTGATTGGCTATACCATGCACAGCTGCACCAGATTTTGAGTGAACCACCTTTAGTAAATAAACCCCTGTCTTTCAACTGTGCTCCTGCATTGTCTCCTAGTGAGGAATTCAAGCAGCTGGGCTAACATACATCAGACAGGCATGGTCCACTTTTCTCCTCTTCAGGAACCTGCCAAAGCAATGATGGGCAGCTGCTGTAGACAGAAAGTAGCTGAAAGATGTTGGAGATCAATAGTAATGAACAAAAAATATTAAAAAACATTATATGACTGAA